TCCGGAACAACCCACGGGATTGAGGGCAGTTCGCTCCCCAGGTTTCAGCCTGCTCCCCAGAAGGGCCTGCCCAAGGGTGACCTCACACGATGGTCTCTTAGCTGCCCCACTAGAACGGGTGCCCCCTGGGCAGGGGCCACGTCTGTCTGGCTCCCCCCCATCGTGTCTTCATGAAGGTTTCGTACATGGCGGGCCCTCAGTGACAATGTGTTGGATCAGATTAAATAAAACCAAAGCCCCTCTGAGAGAGAAGCATCCGTTTCCACGCCCCACCTGTCATTCCTGAGGGGTCACACTGCTACGTTCGGTGAACCCATAACTCCTTTCCCAGCCTGATCAGCCTCCACCCTGGCCCACGCCCCGGAATCTTCTAGAAGGGCTCAGAGGGCCACCCTACCGGCCAGGGCCAAACACTGTCACTCGTTTTTCTGCCTCCTGTCCTTTGTCTCCGTCGGTCCCCTGCCTGGCGTGCTGTCTCTCCAAACTCTTCCCTTTCTCACAGCCCCCGCTTCGTTCCCAATTTCCGCAAGTCCTAAACATCCCCCTTTCTCCCCACCCCCCCCCACCCCCCCCGCACAAACACCCCTGAACCATGTTGAGGATTGTTTTCCTGGGCAGCCAAAAACTGCATGCACGCAATGGAATTACTTTAAAATGCTTTTAAAAAACGGTCACCCATTTTTTTTTTATACATTTATTTATTTTTGAGACAGAGACAGAGCGCGGGCAGGGAGGGGCAGAGAGAGAGAGAGACACGGAATCCGAAGCAGGCTCCGGGCTCCGAGCCGTCAGCACCGAGCCCGACGCGGGGCTCGAACCCACGAACCGCGAGATCGTGACCTGAGCCGAAGCTGGACGCTTAACCGACCGACTGAGCCCCCCAGGCGCCCCCACACGGGCATCCCTTTAAAAGTCAGCTTCCGATGTTAGGGTGGCTCTGTGCTCCCGCGTGGGCACCCGCGGTGAGCCCGCCCGTGTCACAGCCGAGCCCCCTTGGTGCTGCTGGGAGGTGGCCATCCTTGGAAAGCCCACTCCCGGGGGAGCAGCCATTGCGTTAAAGCGTTGGGCGCCACTGTGGAACACGGCTCGTGATTTTCCTCCGTGAGCGGGATGTCGGAACCAAGAAGGGGCCGCGGGGTGGTCCGGCCCCACCTGGCCCTGCCTGCTGTCCGAAGCCAAGAATCTAGGGGCTGTCTTTGCTGCTTCTCCGCCTTGCCGACATACTGTCTGCGTTTCCAGGTCTGTCGGGTCAACCCCCAAACGTGGCCGGAATCTGACGCCTCCTCTCCTCTCTCTTACCCAAACCCAGCCCTCATGACAAAGTCCCCAGGTGCTCGTCACAGCTGAAGGACGGGGTCCACCCTGAGCTTGGCGGGGCCTTCAAGTCAAAATCAGAACCAAGTAGGACCTATGCCACAGGGCAGGTGGTCAACACACAGCCTGTCCGGATCCAAGTCCTGGCTGCCACATCCTGTGTGTCGTTGATCAAATGACTTAGCTTCCCTGGGCTTCAGTTGGATTTTCCTCCTGGTAAAATGGGCCCAATAAAATGGGTTGAGAGCCGTGCCCGGTGGGGGCGTGGGGGGGTGTGGACAGCCTGCCCCACATGTGGGAGGAGCCGCTCGAGTGGTCTGAGAAAGGCCTCCAGCTCCCGGAGTCACGGGCAGGTGCCCAGGGCACCCAAGGGGCTGCGGAGAAAACCAGCCGCAGCGTGCAAAGCCCCGGGCGGGCGCTTATGTGGTTCCAGCCCCCCTGGATAATTCCCTGACGGGGGTCCCCTTGACCTGAGCCCCTAACTGAATCGCCTTCAAGGCTGCCCCCCCGACCCAGTCCAGCCTTCTGGCCGCCTATCATCCCGCCCCTGCAACACTCCCCATTCACGAGCCTTTGCGCAGGTTGGTCCCTCTGCCGATGCCATGGCGGCTCCCTGCGGCCCTCCTTCCGCACCTGTCACCTCCCACGGCGTGTTTCCTGTCTCTCCGACCCACACCTGCCCCAGCTCAGACACCCTCAACTGCGCCTCCCCTCATTCCCAGCCAAGCAGGCCACTCTAACCCCTGGTCCCCTTCCCTGTTCGCTGCTTCGTGTTCTGTCTCCCCCGACTAGCTGGCTTCGCTCCAGGATTCCAGAAGCTGTAATCCTTATCATCCAGGTTCCAGGCCCCGGCCTCCGGCAGGCTTAGCGTGGCATTCATTGCATGAATGCACGAGTGAATGAATGGAGTACTTGAGTGGAAGTCAGAGAAGCGGTAATGACAAGGAAGAAACATTGGCTCTCGAGTGGGCATCTCAAGGCTGGAAGCCCGGCCCATTTCTCACTCCTGTGTCCTGCCTCTGCTCCTCAGCACTTTGCCTCTTTCCCGGGACCTCAGATTCCCCTCTGACCTTGGGAGCTCGGGGGGGACCTGACTTGACAGTGTAGGTGGGAACTCCTTCTGACTGCCAGGCCCCATGCCACCCATTGATGTGGGAGCAGCCGGAACAGAAAGAAACAATGTTTGCTCCCTCCTCCGTCCTGGCCACTCCCCGAAGCCTAGAACATCGGTTAGGATTCAGTGTGGTATGTGGAACGGAGAAATCAAACCAGAAGTCACCAGCGCCCACGTCCCTTCGACTTCGTTGCCCCTCCATCCTCTACACAGAGCTTCTACTTCACAGACCAAGGTGGCTGCTTGTGCTCCAGCCCTCACGTCCTCATTCCAGCCAGCAAGAAAGAGAAAGGCGCGAGGAAGGACTTGTTCCCTCTCTGTGAAGAAACTTCCTGGAAGGCCACACACCAGACTTCCACTTACATGTCATTGGCCAGCACTCAGTCACACATCCAGGTGCCCAGGAGCTAAAAATCGGGGTCCTCGTTCCTGGAGAAGATGGGGAAAGTAGATGATGTGGGGCAGTCAGCGGCTCTGCCTCGGCAACCGTTCAGGGGAGCCACTCTATCATTCTTTGATTCATCGACACCGTGCCACGCGCTGGTAAAACAGAGGGGGCCAGGACGGCGGAAGCCAGGAGGGGCGACTCACAGGGTCCCCATCCCAGCAGGAGACAGTCGGTGAAGTCCCGGCAAGAGAGCAGCGGTGCTGAGAGAGAGCAGGGGAGACGGAGGGGCGGAAAGCTCCCCCGGCTGACGGAGGCAGAGCAGAAGCCCTTGAGCATTCCAAGAAGCAGGACCCGGCTCGCACCCCCCAGCTCAGCCGGGCGCTGGCTAAATGCCCCTGGGCGAGTCCTTGCTGGTCCCTGAGCCCTCGTGGGCAGCAGCCACGCTCTCACTGCGCTGCAGAAGCGGGGTCTCTGGGAAGAAACTGAGGCTCGGAGGGTCTGAGAGCCTTGCTGTTTACCGGTAATTCCCAACGGGGGGGAAATCGTGCCCCCGCCCCCAGGGAACACGGGCCCATTTCTGGAGACATCAGTGATCACCACAACTGGGGCTGCTGCTAATGGCATCTGGTGGGTGGGGGCGGCCAGGGATGTTGCCAGAAACATCCTCTGAGGCCCGGAACAGCCCCCTCCCCGTGCCAGAGAACCACCCAGCCCCAAAGGTCAGCAGTGCCGAGAACCCCGTCCTCGGCGGTCACCCGGCGAGAAGGAGCACGGCCGGGGTCTACACGCAGGGTCCCTCCGCCCAGAGCCCACCCTGGCTTCTCCAAGTGTGCTTCAGAGCCCCCACCCCAGACCCCCTTCCGCGTACCCCAGGCGACGGGCTTGAGATGTCTGCTTTCTTAACAAACACCCACAATGACTCAGACATTTGCTGAAGTTTAAGGAGAACTAAACTCTGTGCTTATAAAGTACCAGGCACGTAGTCACCCCCCCACCCACACCAAAATCCATTACAAGTTTAAAGTACAGCTATTATTTTTACAGCATTGCTTAGAAATGGCTTGCAATCTCTAATTTGCTAAATTGATGTGTATATTGACTAAATAAATATTCGGCACGAAGCCCGAGTCCCCCTCCACACCTATTAATCCTCAGGAAATGGAAACACAAGACACGAAATGAGCTTTTGCTCAGAGCTGCAGACAGGAATACATTATGTTGTTTTTCAAGCGTTCGGGGGCCTGGCTCGCTGCAGCAGAGATGTCCCAATCACCAGCCTCCAAGTTTTCCATGACGCACATGTCTGCCCGTGGACGTGCCTGTGTTGCTAAGGTTCTTTCTCGGACTTTGAAAGTCTAGGACAAGAAACTTTTCCCTCGGTGGGGAGAAAGCTGGGGTGACTGCCTTTTGGGGAGCTGGTCCGAGGGCTTGGTGGATGGCACCGGGGTTCGTGCATAGAAATTGGGGCTGCTGGAAGGGCCGGGGAGGGATAACCCGGGACATTTCCCCTCCCCGGGCACTAGGGTGTTAGTGCCTGCAGCCCTGGGGAGAGATTGCAGGGGCGGGGGTGGTGGGGAGAGGGTCCTCTGTCAACACGCCCACCCCAGGACAGAACACCAGGGGGAGGGCATTGCTGCGGACAAAGTGAGTGTTGGCTTTCCCCCCCCTGGGGGGGGGGGGGGGGGGCTCTGGCCTCTGGGATGCCGACGGGTCCTTCCAAAGTATGAACTGCATATCTGCCTATGGTGCCAGCTGATACCAATGAAATAATAGAGCCCAGAATTAGCAGAGAAGTTCATCTTGGCAGCCGGGGAGCGGGGAGGTGTTCTCCAGAAGAGGAAATGGCAAGAGCCTTCCTTTTGCCTTACTGGGAGGGTGTGAATCCCCAGAGGGAGGCATTTCAAGGAGGCTGGCCTCTGCCCGAAGCCGGCCCAGGGCTCCCTTACCAGGCACGATGCCAGACCACTCAGGGTTTCCAGTCCTCAGAGAGCCTGGAGACTGGGAAGGGCGGGGGGGAGGGGGGGTCTTTGGCATTACGGTGACCTGTTTCCAGGTGAGGATCACGGTGGGGGCAGCAACAGCACACGGCACCTAACCCACAGCCAGCAAGCTGACTGCTGCAGGAGGCAACGGTGACCCCTCCCAGGCCCCCCATCCCCCCCCCACCCCCCCACCCCCCCATCCCCCACCCCCCCGTCTACAGACAGACGGGACCGGCAGATGGCAGGGCAGCAGGGCTCTCTGAAGCCTCTACACCCTCAGGGGTTCCCTGAAAACAAGGCTGTGGGACCCCAAAGTGGGGCAGGGGTGAAAACGCAGACCCCACCTCTACGACTCTCCAGGCAGAAGGCCGCAGCCAGCTTGGCAGGAGGGACTGTGGCCTGAGTTGAGGGCAGAGGGGTGGCCAGGGTGGGATCCCCCAGGGCCTTGCGGCCAAGCACAGGAAGAGTCGGGGTTGTATCCTGGGTGCAGTGGGCAGCCGGGGGACAGCTTTGTAAGGACCCGTCTGAGCTGGGCCTCAGCGGCCCTCGGGAAGAAGCTTCAGCCTCGCGTGGAAGGTGGAGCCTAGGCGTTGAGCCCCTGAACTCAGCCGGAGCCGAGCTGCGTCCCCATCGGCTGGTCAGGGGAGGGGAAAGCCTGCCTCCCGCAGGACCAGTGGAGACTCCGAATCACACGGAGGACGGTGCCGTGCCGATGCCCCCACACACCTGCCGGAGGGGGTCCGACAACAGACCGCCAAGCGCGGTGAGACGCTGGTCTGGGCCGGCGGGCACCAACATCTCACGCACTTGGAAATCCGTGGGGCGCTTCCCTGCACGGGTCAGCAGACATGTGCCCCTGGGCCCAGCAGCGCCACCTCCAAGAGGAGGTTCCCAGAGAGCCGAGTACGGGCATCCAGTCGCCTTGCCCCACACGGGCAGAGCTGGGAACAGGCCAGGCGGCCACACTGGGCGAACGGTTCAACCCGCCATGGCCAAGGCTTCCAAGGGGCCACACAGCCATGCACGAGAGGGTCCCGGTAATGCATTCTGCCCCCCCCCCCCCACAAGGCTGAGCAGAACACTAACCTGGACCTGGAGAAGGAACCCAGGTGGGCAATGAGCCCACCCCTGGGCAGGGACCCCAGAAGTCTGTCCGCCTTGGATAAGGCACAACCTTCCACCAGTGACAGAAAGATCAGTGGTTGCCTGGGGGCTCGGGGAGGTGGGATGCATAAGCGCCGGGCCCAAGGGAACTTTCTGGGGGGTGATGATGGAATGTTCTAGATCTTGATCCGGGTGGTGGTCACACACAGGTGTCCAAACTCAGCCCACTTTCCCCTTAAGACCTGTGTATTTCACTGCATGTAAAGACCTTAGTGATTAAAAAAAACCCCAAAACCGTATCTGTAAAAAGGGGTCTGTTTTTTGGGGTTGGGGCCCACGATCTCCTGTCTCGAGCCGCCCAAGCTCCCCAGGCAAAGCAGAAGTTCTGTGCAAGTGGAAAGAGCCTCGCGCGGGGGCTCCTGAGGCCACCGCGCCCGCCTTCCTGCGGCATATCTGTCTTGTTATTGCCAGAGCTGGAGAATTGCTCCCGAGGCGGAATCTTGAATATTCATCTGATTTACGGCCCGCTGCCGACAGCTTTATGAATCCGCCCACCAATACCTGCAGCCAGTCATCAATCTTCCCCCGAGATTGTGCCTTTGCCAGTAACTCATGAATTAAAGAGGCCCCCGGCGGCCCCCACGCCTCCCTCCCCTCGCGGCGCGGCGGGATGGAAGGAGGGCCTGACCCGAAGTCAAAACACTGTTGTCGTCTTGCGGCGGAGGCTCTGGGTGACCTTGGATGACTCACCCAGACTGTCTGCAGCGCGAGCAAGAGAAAACTTGGGAGCCTCAGGTCTGCCTCTTCCCAGCTCTGAGCCTCAGTTTCCCCGCCTGGAGAGACGGGGTGCAGCGCCCCCTCTGCCTGCCTACCTGGGTGGGAGGCGGGGGGAGCGGAGGCAGGAGGGACGTGGCTTCATCTGGGGATGGACAGAGAAGGTGGTCCCCCCGGCCAACTCCCCTCTGTCTCTCGTACACAACGTGAGAACAACGGCACATTTGACTTTCCGGGGGACCCATGGGGGCGCTGAGGGCAGCTAGCACAGCGCTGTGCCCCTGGCAAGCACCCGACAGGGGGCAGGGCTTGCTTATCCAGGAAGGGACAAATGTTCCAGGCTTAGCTCTGGGCTCGGGAAGCAGTTCCAAGGTGTCCTCAGAGCCCACCCCTGGGCAGGGACCCCCGGCGGAAACTGCTGCCCGAAGCCCAGGGCCGCACGGCGGGCTTGCCCAGGAGCCCCGGAGCCCGCCCTGGGGCTAACACTCAGCAAGCGGTGGCCCGGCGCTCAGACCGCCACCCAACCATTGGAAGCATCTGCGAAGCGCTGGGGGGACCCACGCCTGTCTCCCCGGGGTCCGCAGATGGCTGGAAGGCAGAGAGCCCCTCTGGGCTCAGACACACCGGGGTTCAAACGCGGCCCTGCCCTTGGCATCCGGGGACCTTGGCAAGTCCCCCACCCCCCGAGCCCCATAAGCTGGACACTGATGTCACGGCTGCGGCGGAGGGGAGCCTGGGGGGCCCAGAGAGGCGGCCTGCTGTACGGGATGTGACGACGGGTGGCACTGAATGTCTGCCCGACACGGGGCACCACGCGGGTCACTGGTGGCGGGGAGCTGGCTCAGGTCAGCCCTCTTCTTCAGTGGCTTCCCTCAACAAATGTTCATCAGTCCCTTCAGACCACGTAGAGCTCCTAACACCTGTTCCCAAAGACACGCCGAGGGGCGTCCCCTCCCCGGGTCCCGGCTCCCACCAGTGTCTGCAATGTGGCAGTGTCCCGCGGCTTGCCATGTCAGCTCAGGGTGGCCTTCCGAGATCTACACGACCACAGGCCAACCCTCTCCTCTGCAAGGTGCCGGTGCTCAGCGGGCCCCCGGGCCGCCTACAGCATGCACAGCAGACCCGCAGCCGGACTCAACGGCTGGGCCCCTCTGTCCAACATGCTCTCCCCCGCAGGCCTACAGTGAACAGAGGAGGCCATCGCCGTAAAGAGCTGACATTTATTAGGCGCTTACTGTGTGCCAAGCTCATTCGGAACACCTGACGTGCGCCCCTTCTGTGAACTCCCACTAAGAGGTAGGTTTTGTCCCTCTTGTACAAAAGAGGGAGCCGAGGCACAGAGAAGTGAATGAGAATGAGAACAGTGAGCCCCCTCCCAGTGGAACGCTGGCTGGACCGATCCTCCCCACTCTGGCGTGGCCCCGGGCCCCCTGGTACTTAGGAAGTCCTCCAACAAGCAGCCCTGCTCTGGGGGAAAGGTACCTTGGAAGGCGGTGAAGGGGGAGGCAGAGGCCAAGGCTGGGGGCACCAGCTCGCCTACTTGGCATTCCCTGGGAAGGGGTGGAGGGACTAGCCGGAAGCTGACTGGGGAAAAGGTCTCAGCTTCTGAGAACAACATTTCCCGGGGGCTTGGCCTCCACCACGAGGGTTTGTAATCTATGGACTTTTCACCTTGGCACCAGCTCCCTGACCACGTTGGCAGTATTTACCCTGAGGGAGGGGGAGGGGGCCGGGTGGGTGGTGTGCATATGTGTGCACGCGCACTGGAGGGGAGGGTCAGAGCCAGCCAGCTGGATCCGGGTCTTTGAGAGCCTCTGGCTCCTGGGACCTCAGACGGAGGTCTCCCTCCTGGTCTTCCATTCTTGCTCTCCGTCCCCGCCCTCCTTCACCTCTTGCTCTGAGGGTTGTAAAGCTGGTGGACGGATGATGCCGAACCCACGGCCCCCCCCCCTAGGGATTTGCACCCGGGGTGGAGACAAGGGCTAAGATCCAAGCTCCCTCCCTTGCCAGCGCTAAGAACACCCCTACTGCCTCATCTATAGAATGAGGATCATAGTAACACCCAAGGCTGCTAACGTAGCATGCTGGAAAGTGCCTGTCACGCTGTAAGCACTCAGTGAGTGGCAGCCGTTGTCACCAGCCATATGGGTGCTCAGTACATGTTTACTAACTAGAGGGAGGGAGGGAAGAAAGGGTAAATGGATGGATGGGTGGAGGACAGATGGATGAATGTATAAATGAACAGATACCTACACAAGTAAATAACGGTAGGTGGATAGATGGATAGTGGATGTTCAGTCATTCATTAATGAGTATCTATCCATCATCCATCCATCCAACCATCCATCCATCTGTCCATCCATCCATCTGTCCATTGATCCATCCATCTGTCCATTGATCCATCCATCTAACCATCCATCAATCCATCCATCCATCCATCCATCCATCTGTCTGTCCATCCACCCATCCACTTACCCATCCATCCACCCACCCACCCATCTTTCCACCCATCCATCCATCTGCCCATTGATCCATCCATCTAACCATCCATCCATCCATCCATCCATCCATCCATCTATCCACTTATCCATCTATCCACCCACCCACCTGCCCACCCATCCACCCATCCACTTACCCATCCATCCACCCACCCACCCACGCACCCACCCATCCTTCTACCCATCTCTCCATCCCCCATCCACTCACCCATCCATCCATCCATCCACCCACCCACCCACCCATCTGTCCATCCATCCACCCATCTGTCCATCAATCCATCCATCCATCTATCCATCCTCTGTCCATCTGTTATCCATCCATCCATCCATTCATCCTTCCATCCATTCATCTGTGCATCCATCTGTCCATCCGTCCATCCATCCGTCCACCCACCCACCCATCTGTCCATCAATCCATCCATCCATCCATCCATCCATCCTTCCTTCCATCCATCCTTCCTTCCTACCATCTCTGTTGGATGTGTGCATGTGCACATGGCTAGGTGGATGGTGAGTGGGACAGACAGGAAGACAGATACACAGACGGATGGGTAGATGAATGAACAAATGGGTGGCTGGCGGGCCTGATGGGTGGATGGATGGTGGGTGGATGGACGTTCCGACGGACAACTGGATGAATGAACAAATGGAGAGTTAGACGAATGGACAGATGGATTGCTGGATGGCTGGGACCAAAAACTAAATGCTAAATTGCCTCCCTCCCGAAGGTGGCAGATAACAATTGCTTCAGCTCCTGCCTGGTACCACATACATTAACATGGCCACAGGGGGCCGGAACACTGCGGCCTTCACAATCTGCTCATTAGCTGACTCACAGAGCTTTTCACCTATTCAAAGCCAACGGGGTAGCAGCATGACATTTAAGATTTCCTTTCAGCAATCACTTGCTTGGCCTTTCACAGAACACAGCGTGCAGCTGTTCCCTGGCTTATATTCTCCTCCAAAGGTGCCATCAAGCCCCCTGTGTGCAGTAATGAGCCCAGCTTCCCCAGGGCTCAGGGGTGTGTGTGCCCTAAAAAGTTGGGGGCCCCTTTCCCCCCACAACTGCTGTGCCACATTCTCTCTCTGCAAGCAGTGTTACCAATTACCTTAATTACCCTTCAGTTAGGGGGTTTCATTTATAACATAGTGGCAAGGAAGTATTGGAGAAAGAGTTTCCCTGGCAACCAAGTTTTTAAACACAAGATTCTCTGAGTTTTAAAAGACACTTCTCCCCTAATTTCCCCCCTGAAAATTAGCTTGGAACTTTTCGGATGCTGAAATTTTTAGCATAGCAGCAGGCCAGCACTTATGTCTGAAACCATACAAGACCTAGATTTCTCCCCTGCCAGAGGCAAGACCCTGGGAAGCTGTTCAATTTCCTGTGCCATTTTGTTCTTGGTGGATGTAGGCAGGGACCACGGACAGCGGCATTTTGCGAGCCCACGGTCAGTCCCGCTCCCGACGCCAACCCGTGTTCCGGGCTCGGGTCGTTCAAGATTCCTGTTGGCCGAGTTCTGCCATGTGGGCTTGACGGGGAGAGCCCTGGGCCAGCAGATCGGTCTGGGCCCATCTCCCCAGGCCGAGGAGGATGGCACCAGCCAGCACCCCAAAGCAAATAAGTTCAAGGTCTGCTCTGGGTCGTGGCTTCTCCCACTGCAAACTTTCGATCATCAGCTTCCCGTCTCCCCCCTGCACTAACAAAATGAATCCCAGCTCAGGTGCACGACCTGGCTTTCCATAATCTGCTCCAGCCTGGGGGCAGCCCTCTTCCTGCCATCCATACGCTTTGCTCTGACCAAGCCACACTTCCATCCGTTCAGCCCCCGACCGTCTAGACGGCACCTACTCCCTAGTCGCAGTGCACCCGTCCCCCAACATTCCACCCTCCACCCACCTTGACCCTTGTCCACACCCTCCCTCCCCCCCCCGCCCCGAGTCCCCCTGGAACCCCTCTATTTTGCCCCTTAGATCCGGGCTTTCCAAATTTGACTTCATGTCGTGAGCACTGCTCAAAAGCTGCTTCCTCTGAACCTTTGTGGCAATGTGTCTACGCCTCTGGGAGCCATCCAGTGTTTCTGCTCTGTGAGGCTTAGCCATTACTTTGTCTTGGAGGTGCAGGTAGAGCGGAAACATGAGGCAGAGCTCAGTCAGATTCCGGCCCTCACAGCTTGGTGGTTGCGTTACCTGGAGGAGATGGAAGGCTGGATCAGGGCGGCTGCAGAGTTTATGTCTAACGGACCCTACGGAGGCCAGATGAGCCCCTAAGTGGAGGGTGGCTGGTCCATCGGGCGGATGAGGACGTGTGGAGGCCTAGATGGTTGGAGGGCGTAGGGACAGATAGTTAAGCAGAGGGATAAGGGGCTGGGTTGATGGATGGAAAAAAGGAGGGAGGAGGGAGGGAGGCAAATGCAAACTGCAAACGTGCCCGGCCGCCGGGGGGTGGACCAGGAGGCTGGCCATCCAGGAATTCTGAACGGGGCAAAAAGCATGCCTGTGGATTCTTGGTCACAGGAAATAGCGCTCCGGATAACTGGAGGCTTGAAGTTTTTCAGTGACCCTGGGAGAAGGACAGAGGCTCCTGTGGGACCAATTCATTAGGAAGGACAGTCCTGATCAGCTCACCTAAGCACTTGGGCCGGCTCTAAATGGGAGGCAGTCAGAGGGCGTTCAATAACTATTCATTGGAAAGTGACGGATTGATTTTGGAGGCCTGCCGTTCTAGGGAGGCCTGGCCAGCTGGGAGCTGCATAGGCATTTCGCTCATCAGGAGCACAGTCTCTCATATTCGACAGCAGGAAAAACCGACCCTCCGGTGAGCAGCGAGCAGCCCAGCCTCCGGCCTCCGGTCTCGCTCCCGTGTTTGCGCCGTGACAGAACCCGCGCTGCCTCCCTACGAGAACCAGCACTCATGGCACGGGGGAGGCTGAACTTCCTCTGACCCATCTGGGTTCGGATGTGAGGGACCTCAGATTGGAGCAAGTCAACCCAAGGCAACTTGAGTGATAAGCCCGTCCTGGGGATCAATCCGCCCCCGAATCCAGGAAGGCCCTATAGATCAGGGACCTACCCCAAGGAGCTGTTGCGGGGGGGGGGGGGGGGGCGGGGAGGGACAGCGCCAAGCTAGAAGGACATGCGAATACCGTCTCTTTCCAGGAAGGACCAATCCTGCGAGATGCCCGTCACAGACACACCCAGAGGCCACGGGAAGGTGCCAACATCTCCAGCTTGCCGGCTGTCTTCACCCCAGCCTGCGAGGGCCATTCTGACCTGGACAGCCATGCAGACTCTCGCGGGCAGCTGGGAGAGAGAACGGTGCAAACCCCAGGGAGGGCCCTTCACACACACCGGGGGGAGGGCAGTGGGCTTCCAGCAGCTGGCAGCTTGGTTGCCAGACGGGACTTTGGGGCCTCTCATTCCTAGGCAGCGCGTCTGAAAAACTCGCAAATTTCCTAACGTAACTCGGGGAGCCTTGATTGTTAATAAAACTGTCTCTTTACTTCTTCCCTCCAGCTGACTCCCCACGAGAGATGCGGGCGGCGGGGGGTGGGGGGGGCGGGAGGGAATCAGGAAGGGGGGGCAAGGGGAAGACAGATTCACTCTGCCTTATCTCCAAAGCGTTCAGCTAAGTGCCAGAACATAATAAGTGCTCAATAAATAACCACTATTAGAGGAGGAAGAGACGGAGGAAACCAGACAGGTCAGAATTTAATTCTGCCACGCAGGTCTATTGTGCTTCTGTCCAGGGAAAAAGAGCGAAAGAGTATCTCCACTTTCCATCTCCCTCTGCCTCCGGGGCTGACTTTGCGGTGGTGTCCTCCTGTCCCCTTTTGCCCGCAGCCTGTTGAAAAAAAAAAAAAAAAAGAAAAGAAAAGAAAAACCAAAAGCCAATCTGGCATGCTTGGCCGGGCCTCTACCTCCCCAGCCCACAGCCCCTCCGACTTGATGTTTAATTTCCCTGGGTCGAGAGGAAGCGTTCTGATGATCCAAGTTAATTCAAAATGTAAATTTCATCTCCTATCGGCTAATGGCTCTGAGCTCTGCTTTACGTAACGGGACAGCAGCTGCCTGATGAGTCACCGGGGCCTCTGGTGCCCCTGGTCTCTGCTCTTGGTGGTGACGCAGCCCTCGCTGAGGCCTGAGACCGCCGCAGCCTCTGTCCCCGAGGGGGGGGGCGCAGGGGGAGCAGCAGGGAGTTTTACTTACTGAGGGGAGGAAGGTTTATGTTAACCCCGGGGGCCGTGCTCAGCCTGGAGGCTCAAACCTGGAGAGACCCGTCCCCCGGGGCCATTTTGGGTGGCCGGGGGGTGCGTGCCCCTCAGCCCCTGGCAGAGAACTCCACCGTGAGCCAGGGGCTCCCACTGAGTAGGGCGGGCTGGGTTCACCCGGACCCAAAGAGCAGCCTTTTTTTAAATTTTTTTTTTCAACGTTTATTTATTTTTGGGACAGAGAGAGACAGAGCATGAACGGGGGAGGGGCAGAGAGAGAGGAAGACACAGAATCGGAAACAGGCTCCAGGCTCCGAGCCATCAGCCCAGAGCCCGACGCGGGGCTCGAACTCCCGGACCGCGAGATCACGAGATCCCGCGAGATCGCGAGATCGTGACCTGGCTGAAGTCGGACGCTCAACCGACTGCGCCACCCAGGCGCCCCCAAAGAGCAGCCTTGAACCCTGCAGGGGTCAGTGCTTGGATGGCAGCCAAGGCTTCCAGCCGCTGGGTGGCCTGTAACTGCTGTGGTCCTGGAACCGCCCCTGGGCCCCTGAGTGGGTCCCCTTTGTCTTCCTGGGGGATGCTGAGGGCTTCTCTCAACTCCCCGCCTGGGCTTTTGCCCGTGTCCTCGAAGGCAAAACCAGCTACAGGCTGGGAGTTCCCACCCCCCTTCGGTGGCCCGCGGGGAGACGGAGGGGGGAGGGGGCCTGGGGGGCGCCGGTGAGTTTGGGTGTCTGGTGTCACTCCATCCTTCCCGGGGACTTGGCATCGGCCACATTGAGCAGCATGTGAGGGGCGGATGGTGCGATCGAGCGTGAACAGGCGGCTGGGGGCGTTCCCGGGGTGGGACCGCAGGCCAGCTCAGGGGCTTCGGGTGAAGTCTCTGTGGGCCGACCGTGTTCTTCATGCCCCCCAGGGCCTCTCGTCCTCTCCGCCTTGTCCTTCTCCCCACACCTGGACCTGGGCTCCCTAAACCCCAAGTTTAGGGTCCCTCCGAAGAGCCACCAGGCCCCAGCTCCATGACAGGTTGGAGGAGGAAAGACCTCCAGGGGGCCCGGCCGGGCCCGCCACGGGGGGCGGCGGGGGGGAGGGGGAGGAAAGTGGACCCTCCTGCATGGCTGGAGGCCTAGGTGTTCAGGGGAGCACCTGTGTCTAGACCCTCCCTGATGTGGTGACAGGAGCCAAACCCTCCCTCCCATTGCCAAGCCAGTTTGGGTGAGTTTCCTGATCCGCTCTCAGAGCTGGGATGGTCTCGGGTCTCCTGATTCCGGGGTTCTTCTCTGTGCCAAAGTGTGCGGTTACGGCCTTGGACTCAATGAGCCGGCCTGGAACCCGAGGCTCCTGGTGGGCCCAGCACTGCCACCTGCTGGCCTCATGGCTTTGTCAGGCTTCTGTCCTCTGGCCCGTGTCTCCTGGAAGTCGGTGAAAGAAATGATTCTTATGGTGCTCGTGATAACTGGGAGAGGTTCACGGGCCTGGCATTAAATGACATTGAACCCCATAATAAAAACAGTCTGTCCTTTTTTTTCCAATTTCTCGGAATCCGCCCGGGCTGCTCCTGCCACCCTGCCTCCCTCTTCCTCGTTCGTGTCCCCTTTTGACAAGGTGAGCGTGGGCTCCGACTCAGGGCCTCTGGCAAACAACACGTTTCTAAGGTGAGTTAAGAGACACCTCTGTTTTCGTTGAGTGTATTCTTTTTAAAAAAAAAAAAAAAAAAAAAACACCTTTTGAGCTGTAACTCACGTACCAGAAAATGCATCCACTTGAAACGCACAATTCCACGGTTTTTAATATGGTCACAGGGTCTGCAACCTTCGTGGAAATCTCATTTGAGAATCTTCGGCACCCCGAAAACAAAGCCCGTACCTGTTAGCAATCCCTCCTCGTTCCTCGATGCCTCCCCCTGCCTGTTCCCAGGCAAACACAAATCTAATTTCTATCCCTGTGGATTCGCCTGTGCTGGACATTTACTATAAACGGAATCAATCAGTGGCCGTGTCTTCCGTGGCGGGCATCTTTCACTTAGTGTTGAATTGATGTGGTTACTTTAGCAAAGAATGCTGGGTTTTAATCAGTGGTTGGGAGGCACTATTTTCTTCTAGAACAAACTTCTTTCAGTCTGCTTATTTTTTTTCCAATTAATCGATCATTTGCTCGAGTTACCAGCTTTCCGTGGGAGGTGGGATGCTCACTAGAACTTTTGGAAAACACAGTGCACTTCCTGTCCAGGGGGCCTGGGGGTACCTTCGCTGTTGGTTCTCTGATTTGGGGAACTTTTCGTCTCCCTCCTCTCTCCAACAGCCTCCAAGCCCCTTCCTTCATCCACCCTGACTGTCCTCAAAACCCCATCGCATG